TATATATTCAAATAATAAGTTATATCCCAAAGCCATTTTGAAAGAAAAATGTGTTTACTCATTTTAAAATGAGATATTTGTACAGTATTTTGTTAAGTACTGTCTTGCTTACATGCTCTAGAGCAACACTATCCAAAAGAACTTTCTGTGATGATGTAAAGGCTCTAAGTCTGAGCTGTTCAGGAGAGGCACCAGTTAGCCACAGGGGGGCACTGAGTACTTGAAATGGAGCAAATGCCTCTGGGAAACTCAACTGTAACTTTATTTCATTTAAATTAACGTGAATTCAAATAACCCCATGCGGCCAGTGGCCAACTTCCTGGAAGGGCAGCTCTGAAGAATGAATTTTTCATTTATTTCCAAAGGGCTTTCACTTTTCCTTCACAACCTTGCTCAAGGTCACCTCAAAGCCCTGCACTGTGCTTCCATGGAACATTCTGCGTTTCTTCAATTTAGAGCTTCCCCACTGAACAGAAATTATTCCAGTATTGACTTCCCCGGTATACTGTAATCTACATAAAAATAGGACAGCGTTTTATTAATCTTTGTCATCTCAGCATCCAGCGGAGGGACTGACATGTGGCAGGTCCTCATTACACTTTTGTGAAATGAATGAACAGAAAGAAGCTATAAGCAGCTGATTAAACAGGGAAGTTCTAAATGAAAATTTAACGTTTGTGGAAAACTATCCTTTTGCCTGCCATTTATTTTCTGATTCACATGCATAAAAGCCATTTCTGCCTTATTGAAATCCTAGCTAAGCAGGAGAGGTAGTGTTTCTGCTAAAGTAATTTCAAGGGTGTCTGATCAAATAAGCCATATGGCACCCTGGCAATTTACAGCTGCAACTCATCTGCTCACTCACCGTCGAAGATGGCTGCTTATGAAACGTTAGAACAATCGGCTTCGCTGTGCTGCGAACCCGAAGGCCACTTACCGTCACCAACATCGAAGTCCTTGAACGCCAGTTCTGAGCCCGAGTCATCCAGAAGGATTTCGCCATTCAGTGTGAACATCATGGTGTGCTCCGTCATGTCCACCATGCATCCCACAACATCGCCCGCTTGCCAAGAGCGCCCATAGTGTTCGTTGCCCTGGTGCCACCGCTGGGCCTAAGGGACAGAAGAGTCTCTTGTCACAGACAAAGCCGGGAGAACAGCACCCACCCACCACTACTGGTATGACTCACAGCAGCTCCTTCTAGTAACACAGCAGGAGGAAGGGCTCAGTGCCACCCCACGCACCAGCGGGTCACACCCCTAAGCGATGTGGAGGTGCCTGGGAATTCTACGTCCCTTTGATTAACACTGTATGCTATGGAATCTTGAAGAACAACCCAAATGCTATGTCATTACTTTGAGGAACGATGACTTTAAAAATCAAACCCGACACACTTTCTACTTAAAACAAACAAACAAACCTCTGTGTCTTTAGAGGTTATTTTTTCTCACTAAAATGAATGCTTCTCAGGATTTGGGTTGTTTTTCTCCATTCCCCCAAATTGCAAAGAATTATGAGTAGAGAATAAAGCTGAGAATTTATCACTGAAAATGACATTCTAGTTTTCATCTACTTCAAAATAAAATTCCATTCCTTGGAACCAATGGCATGGATACTTTAACAAAACAGACATCTTGAAGCATTTCAAGATATACTAAAACTTAAAAAGCTCCAAATCAAACCTAAAAATATTCTTAGGATGTTTACTGAAATAATACACCAAAAATTAAATGTGCCAACAATGTTTTGTATACAGAGGCCAAATTTCACATTATAAATACAATTCAAACACATTTTTGATAAATGTGACTTATGAATCTATAAGTACATTCCAATGATTTATGGGATCAAAATTAGTTACATCAATTATTTTGTCAGATAAGTCTCATTTTCCCCTCAATCATCGCCTTCATTGCAAACTGATATGTCAGGGGGTATAGTCACCAATGTAAAGTAATGATATGATTATTTTCAAGTATAATACACTCTACTTTTAAAAATTTTATTTCAGGGGGCGCCTGGGTGGCGCAGTCGGTTAAGCGTCCGACTTCAGCCAGGTCACGATCTCGCGGTCCGTGAGTTCGAGCCCCGCGTCAGGCTCTGGGCTGATGGCTCAGAGCCTGGAGCCTGTTTCCGATTCTGTGTCTCCCTCTCTCTGCCCCTCCCCCGTTCATGCTCTGTCTCTCTCTGTCCCCAAAATAAATAAACAAAAAAAAAAAAAAAAAAAAAAA